TCTTACAGTATGGGAGAACATATTCATAAATGATTTATCTGATAAGGGGTTAACACCCAAAATATATAAATAACTCATATGCCTTAACACCGAAAAAACAAATGACTCAATTAAAAAATGGGTGGAGGACCTGAACAGACACTTTCTCCAAACTAGAAATACAGGTAGATGGCCAACAGGCACATGAAAAGATGCTCCACATCGCTAATCATCAGGGAAATGCAAATTAAAACCACAATGAGATATCACTTCACACTAGTTAGGATGGACAACATCCAAAATACAAGAAAAAACAAATGCTGGCGAGGATGTGGAAAAAGGGGAACCCTCCTACACTGTTGGTGGGAATGTAAATTGGTACAACTGCTGTGGAAAGCAATATGGAGGTTCCTCAAAAAACTAAAAACAGAAATACCATTCGACCCAGAAATTCTACTCCTAGAAACTTACCCAAAGAAAACAAGATCCCTGATTCAAAATGACATATGTATCCCTGTTTATCGCAGCACTATTTACAAAAGCCAAGATAGGGAAGCAACTTAGTGTCCACCAGTAGATGAATAGATAAAGATGTGGTACATATACACAATGGAGTATGATTCAGCCATAAAAAGAAAAGAAATCCTCCCATTTGCAACAACATAGATGGAGCTAGAGGGTATTATGCTCAGTGAAATAAGTCAGGCAGAGAAAAACAAATACAAAATGACTTCACTTATTTTAGAGTATAACAAAGCAAAACAGAAGGAACAAAATAGCAGCGGACTCACAGACACCGAAGGGACTAGTGGTTACCAAGAGGGAGGGGTTGGAGAAGGGGATTCAAGGGCACAGTAATTTGCAATCACAATACAAGCTGGTCATGGGGACAGTAGTACAGCATGGAGAAGACAGTTAATGACTCTGTAACATCTTACCACATTGAGGACACATTGTGACCACACTGGAGGGGGTGAGAACTTGATAATATGGGTAAATGTTGAACAATGGTGTTATGTATTTGAAACCAACATATGATTGTGTATCAATGATATTTAATTTAAAAAAAACAGCTCTCAAAACGGGTCCCCAAACGAGCTGCATCCCTATCATGTGGGAATCTGCAGGAAATCCAGATGCTGGGACCCTACCTCAGGCCTGCTGAGTCTGTAGTCCAGGGGTGGGGTCCAGCAAGCTGTTTTACAAGGCCCCTGGGTGAGTCCCATGCCTGCTCAAGTCTACAGAGGCTGGAAGATCTCAGGCTCCCTCTGCCACCTTCCCCACTGCAGAATGCAAAGGGGTGCTTGGGATCTCAACCCCACCCGTCGACAGGACACTTCACATCACCCTCAAGCCTTGGCCCCGCAAGACTCCCTGTTCCTCCTACTTCAGTACCATTTCTCAGAAGGTGACCTCACTTAACCCCACTTCCTCATCTTCTGCTCCCGCCCATCCCCACTGCACCTGCACCTCCGGAGGGCCCAGGCTGGGGGTGGGTCTGGGGGCACAGGCCCCTCCCTGGTGTCACAATTCTCCGGGGTCTCAGTCCCCTCCCCCTGCCCCCTGGCCCACCATCCATTGCCTGCTTCCCCAGGTCAGCCTCGGCCAGCACCCCCAGCTCACCCCTGCATGACGGGCTGCAGTGAGGAGTGGGGACAGTGTCACAGCATTTTTTCCACCTACTCTTTCACTTCCCTTTTCACACCAAGTGCCCACCCACATTTCCCGGCTTCGCGGGGGCTCCCTTCCGCCGCTGCACCAGGTATCCTGGTCCCGGACTCTACTCCACTCGGGGATCAATGCCACACATTTGTCTGCCAAAGACAACCTAAACATGAAAGCAAGTCACCACAAGCAAAACACACCCAGAGTTTTCTCCCCAACCTCCCAGGGGGGAGCAACGCTCCTCGGTTCCTAGTGACCTTTCAGGGGAGCAGGAGCAGCCAACGGTGGCGTATTTATGGCCTCTAAAGAGCCTTCACCATCAGTGTCCATGTAAACCTCACTCAGAATAATCCTACAAGGTCAGTATCATTATGGTCCAGATCTGACAGATGAGAAAACTGAGGACCTTTCTTCTCTCCAGCCCCCAAGCCATCAGCACATGCCTACCTCAACAAGGGTGGTATCACCCTCCAAGGGGCAAAAATGGATTCTTGGCAGGGGGAGGAGGAGAAGAAAATCTTACTCTTTTTATGCCTAAAAGCACAGAATATAACAGATACACAGTATACATGTGGTATAAAATATCATGGGTGGCGGCAATTAAAAAAATATTTCTTAAATGGATGGGGGGCCGGGGAGAGGAGGGCAATACTGAAACAAGGCCGGGAAGCGCGGTGACAGCAGAGGCACATCTCAACTCAAGGCTGAACAGCTCTGAGCTATGAGTGAGGCTGAGCCTCTGCTCTTCTGGGACCACTGCCTTGCCAGCCTCTTCCAGGGGCTGTCCCCGAGTGCCAGAACTGGGGTGTCATGTAGTTCTCAAGACAAGCAAGCTTCGGCACCCTGGCCAATGGGCCAGTCCAGCTAAGTGCCCTAGGAGCTCCTGCAACGTCTGCTCAGTGGTGCTGCAGCACACTCATCTCCAGATGCACTGGGGCCCCCTGGAGACTTGGGACAGGCTGTACCCATCTGGAAGGAGCAGCGACCCCTCAGAGCACCTCAGTCAGAGCACTGGCCAGCCACAGGCATGCTGTCGCCCTGGGGACAGTGGTGGGGCTACTTACTTTGGACCTTCTTCACAGGGCGTGCCGCTTTGCTCGTGGGCTCTGGGCCATGCTCTCCAGGGTCCCCTGTGCCAAAGAAGAAAGGCTTAGTTTACACGGTTCTTCCAAACCAAACCTAGGAGCCGGCACTGCCATAAGCAGGCAGGTAAAGGGTTTAAGAAGACAATTTCCAGTGACCTTCCCCATCCAGTCATTTACAAGAGCTAGAAATACGGTAACAGAAGATGACTTTGGTATGTTCACTCTCTTCTCTGGCTTCCAATATAACTGGGGTCAAGTCTTTTCTCCAAAAGCACCTAGCTCCATGACCTCTGAACCTTCTCTGAGCTTCTGTGTCCTCCAGAACACAACATGGCTGACTACCCTTGCTCACAGTGATGAGATCAAGACGCCTAGAGTGTAGTGGTAGCTCCTCTCCTTTCCCTCTTTTTCTCTCACCCCTCCTCCCCAAGACCAGTGATCACTGATGTATCAGGAAATAAATATGTGCGGCTAATTCATCGACACCTTTACCCTCTACTATAGAGCCTGGCCACACCTGTTTCAGAGGCCCTTCTGCAAGGACACTTGGTTTGCCAAGCAGAAATTCAAGTTCACCCCCTAGATCACACAGCAAAGATTCACTATGTGCCTGGCACTGGGGAGAGTGTGTTGGAAAAAACAGGCCAAGCCCCCAGCCTCACAGAGGTCACACTCTGGTGGGGGAAGCAGACAGGAATGACAAGGAAAAGTAAACTCAGCTGTGCAGAAGGCCCCAGTGGATGATAAGGATCCTGGAACCTAGTCTGAGAAAGGGAGTGGTGACAGGGGGGGTTTGCTGAGAAATGTAATATTTCAACAGATCTTCAAAGGATAAGAGGCGTTAACTGGTGAATATATAATCTAGAAAATGCTTCCTAGTGTCTACCTACAAGGGACCTTCTAATCAGTGGGAAGAGCATGTACAAAGGTCCTGTGGCGGAAAACTTATATATTTTTGGGACCTGAATGCAAAGAGGTGCACAGGATGAGGGGGCACTTCAGGGCTGGAGAGACAGACAAGGCCTGCCCAGGCAGGTTCTTGTAGGCCATGGTCAAGAGTCTAGTATACAATCTAAAGGCAATGAAAATTCTCTGGAAAGGGTGGATGGAGAAGGTTCTAAGAGGTCAAACTTGTACCCTGAAAAGCTCTGACTGCAGCAGGAGTGGTCAGAGGACTATTTAGGAAGCTACCACCACTGATGGCAATGGAGAGGTGGTGGCCAGCAGTGGGACCAATGTAATGAGTCAGGAGATATTAAGAAACAAAATCTGCTGAAGGATTGGATATAGAAGAAAGGAAAGTGGGTGTCAAGGAGGAATTCCAGGTTTCTCTGGCCCCAAAACTAGCCATTACCCCACCAAATACACCCACAACCCAGAGTCAAAACCCATTGAGTCAGCCTCAAGATCCCAGACACAAAGAGCCCACTCAGCAAGTCCCATCCTAACACCAAGCCCCAAAAAATGTTTTTATGAAGAATGGCTACAACCTTAGAATCAGGCAAAGACTCCCCACTACCTCCTAGATGCAAGTCCTAGAGGTTCCAGGACTCCTGAAACCAGGCCCAGTGCTCTGGATCAAGACCCTCTCTCCCACCCAAAATGCTGAGGGGACGCATCCCAATTCAGGGTCCCAGAGGGAGAGGGTGGGGGTTGTTAATGGTCACCTGAGCCACTGGGCTCCTCAGCCTTCTTGACCTGCTTTATATACTGCTTCAGCTCGTTTTTGAGGTCCGTGGTGCCCTGGCAGACACTGTGTATCAGCTTGTGATTCAGCTCCATCCTGGGGACGTAGACTGGCTTTGTCAAGACTCCGTGCAGTTTTGCCGCTTTCTGGAATGAGCCAGGGGGTTAGTTCAGGCAGCACCAGTGAAGCCAGGGCTCAGCTCAAGCCTCATGAATCCTGAGACGAGTTTCCCTGTGCCTGTAGGTGCTAAGTCCCAGCTACAGGCCAGAGGTCGTGAAGTGGCACTTACGACACAGTGATCTAAAGCTGGAAGGGCCCTCAGAGGTCACTCACCTCACAGATGGGAACACTGAAGCCAAGAAATAACAAGTTTCCTGCCAGCAATGCTGCTAATTAGTGGCAGGGACAAAGTTGAAAGTCTCCTGACCCCCAGGGGTAATGCCCCTTCAGCCCCTCCAGCTATGGCTGAAAAAGGACAGGGGACTCAGGACCATCCACTCTAAGGACCAGATGTGAACATGTGTTCTGAAAACACAGGATACCTCAAGGGGTGCACAATTCAGCCAAGGCACATCAGTGAAAAAGAAGGGTCTTACGGAAGGCCCCAAACTCTGAGACCAAATCAGGTCATTCAGTTATCCAGACGCAGATGCAGAATTCTGAGAGCTCAAGGCAGCTACTCCAATAAACAGGAATTAAGTAACTGAGAGGAAAGCTAATGCCATCCGGCTGAGGCAAGGATAAAAGTCCAAGCAGGCATAAGAGGTTACCAGTCTCTCATGTACCCTCTGCAGGAGCTGAACAAGGAATCGGGGCCTTTGAGGTGTCCTGGCCCATCACCCAGTCAATGGGGCTCACTGGAACACCGACATGCCAGGCAGTCTTCTAAGCACCAGACATGCCAGGAGGAGGAAGGGCAGGTGGGCCCCTCCCAGAAGTCTGAACAGACATGAAAACAAGCCCGCCTAAAACACTGCTATGGAGGGCTACAGCGGGTATAACACACCCTGGGACACCACACCAGCAACAGCAGACTAGCAGGACCCAAGACAAGGGGACAGTGGAGCGGCCCCCCAAGAAAGACAGGATTTATTAGGCAACGGTCAGCCGTGGCGTCCCCACCAATGCCAGGTGTGCCTGGGGAATGGTGAGTGCTCTGCTGCAGTCAGGGCACCAGGCAGGGCTGGGGGACAAGAGACGAGGCTGCCGGCAAAGGCAGGGCCCAGCACCCAGGGCCTCGGGGACCACACTAAATAACATGAAGATAGGGCGGAGGGGTGTCTCTGCTTTAGAAAGACACTTCCAGAGGTGGTGCAGTGGAGGGATGGGGGGAAGGGAGTGGAGGCTTATGCAGAAGACGACACAGAATCATAAATCTTGGCTCCCAGGGTTCCCACCTGCCCTAGGGAACACACCATATATAATCCCCTCCCCCTGAATATGGGCAGGATGGTGATTACGAAAGGATATCGCTCTTGGGTAGGTTACCTTATATGGAAAAATTGAAGGAATATGGCAGATATAATTAAGACCCAAGTCTTTTGGTTTTGAGTTAATCAAAAAGGTGATTATCCTGGGTGGGCCTGACTTACCCAAGTAAAAGCCTTTAAAAGAGGGCCTGGGCCTTTCTGGAGGGAGAAATTCTCTGCTGGCTTAGAAGCAAGCTGCCAAGTTTAGAGAGGGCTACATGGCAGGAAGCCACAGCAGCCTCTAGGAACTGAGAGACCCTGGCTAACAGCCAGCAAGACAGCAGGGGCCTCAGTCCCGCACGAGGAACTGAATTCTGCCAACCAACCTGAGCTTGGAAACTACCTCTGAGCCCCAAGAGGAATGCGGGCCAGCCGACACTCAGACTGCAGCCTGTGGGCCCCTAAGCCATGCTCAGGCTCCTGAGCATAGAAAGCGTGAGAGAGCAAAGGTAAGTTCTCTTGAGCCACTAAGTTTGGGGTTGGTTGTCACACAGCATAGAAAATGGATACTGTGCGTGTGTCGGGGATGCTTCCAATGACCTCTTACACCCCAACTCCTTGAGGGCCCCAGGGCACCTATAAACAACACTGTCATGCCAGGCAGAGTGTCCAATGATGTCCTCATCAAGACCCACCTCCAGAAACTCAAACTCGTCCCCCTCAGTCAGGGCAAGCTCAATCTCCTCCTTGAGGATCTCAATCTCATTCTTCTTCTTGAGGAGGATCTGGTAAATGTTGTCGAACTTGCTGCTGACCCTCTTCTCCTCTTCCTTTATCTTCTGTGTCGAGCTGGCCTCTGAAGCATCAATGAGAGCCTTCATCTCTATGTAGTCTTGTCTAAGCTGCTCCATCTTCTTGTGCGCAGCATCCTGAGAGGGCCAAGACAACAGGGCATCCATCAGATGGGCAGCAAAGCTCGGCCTGCAGTACCACACGTTGGTGAGACATGCAGCACCAGGACCTCTTACCTGTATTTCATGTGAGTACAAATGGATACAGCCACTTTGGAGGGCAATCTGGCAGTATCTAGTGAATCTGAAGGTACTCACACCCTGTGATCCAACAACCGACCCAAGGAAGATACTCTAGAAAATTTCTCAGACACCTGCCCCAGAGACAGACGCAAGAATGCTTATAAGCAGCATTGTGCGAATAAGCAAAACTCTGCAAACACTCTGAATGTCGATCAATAGGAGACTGGATATGCAGACTGCAAATTATTCTGAGTGGAATATTAAACAGCAATAAAAATTAATGAACCAGAGCAGTGTGAGGATAAATTTCCATGAGAGAAAAATGACTTGCAGAAGACATATAGTTTGATGCTCTTTATATAAAACTTAGAAACAAATGGAACAGAGTATTTATTGCTAAAGGAATAACATATGCATAATAAAAGTATAAAGACACACATAGGAGTGAGTGAATAAATTCAGGATAGTGGTCACTTTTGGAAGAGAGGAAGGGGGATTAAAAAAGGGAGAAAGAAAGTGGGGCAAAAGTGATGTGTGCAACACTCTTCTTCCTTGTGCCCCTTTTCACAGACTCCAACAGAGATGTCACGGTGACCCAGCTGCAACCAAAGACATGAGGAAAACACCCTGTGGGGTGGTGAGGCAACAGGAAAACAAGACCCTGAGCCCTGAATGATCACATGGAGCAGAACGATCCCACTAGTCTGAGTTGCTCAGGTCTTGTCTTGAACTCAGGTCCCAGTGAGCAAAAGAGACTTCTCTCTTATTTCAGTCCCTGAATTTTTGGGTTCTCTTTGCTAGCAGTTTAGCCTGCTCACCGCCCTCACCCCACCATGTGCATTCTTTCACTGAAGCCTCACAGTCACCTTCAGAAAGAAGTCTTGATTCCATTGTGCACATGGGAAAACTGAGGCTTAGAGATGTGCTGACAAGACCAAAGTATCACAGGTTGGTATGTACCACAGCTGGTATTCTAACCCAGATCTCACCTGATTAAGCCACAGCTGCTTCAATAAAGCAGGTGCCGCAGCTCCAGAACAGGAAACTTAATCATACTTTAATATAAAAGATATTATACACACACACATACACACACACACACACGTGTGTGTGTGTGTGTGTTAAAAACCTTATAAAAATTGTGAAAACTAGAGGGAAAAAACCATGTCTAATCCTACTACTCCAACACTTGCACCCCTCTCCTTTTACTATACTTCTTTCCAGGCTTTTTGTTCCTACAGTTTCTGGAATGAGTTGAATGGTGGCCCCCAAAAAGAGATGTCCACATCCCAGGACCTGCAAATGTGACTTACTTAGAAAAAGTCTTGGCAGAGGTAATTAAGATGGGAATCTTAGAGATCGCCCTGGATGACCCAGGTGGGCCCTAAATCCAATGACAAGTGTCCTTACTGGAGAGAGAAGAGACACACAGAAAAGGGGAGGCCACGTGAGGACAGAAGGTGACAGAGGCACAGGCTGGAGTGGTGCAGCCGCAAGGCAGGGAACGCCTGAGCCACTGGGCGCTGGGAGAAGCCACAAAGATTCTCCCTAGGACCTTTGGAGGGAATGTGGCCCTGTCAACACTTTGATTTTGGACTTCTGGCCTCCAGAGCTGTGAGAGAGCACATTTCTGTAATTTTAAGCCAAGTCTGTGGTAATTTGTTACAGCAACTCTAGAGAACCAATATATTGATTGCATTTACATAAATAGATGCAACTCTCGTGGGCATACATTTCAGCTTCCTATTTTTTCTCCCACTTAAGCCATAACCACTTTTTATACTATTACTTTTTAATCCCAGGTTTTAGTGATTCCCCCACCCCACCCTAAGTGCAGGCTTGTAGGTGTTCTTCAGTATGAGTCTGTGAAGGCTCTCTGCTGGGCACATATCTGATTGCATGTTTCACAAGGTTGATGTTTAAGGTCTGACACTGTGAGTGAAGCCAACGTGAGCCTTGCAGAGATCAGAGCTGAGCTCATCCTGCCTGTCCTGCCTGGAGGCCATGGGAGGCCCGAGGGCCAGGCCAGTGGTGGCAAGCCCTGCCACTTACCCACATAGCCTCCTGCCTGGCTCTCACATCCTCCAGCGCTCGCGTTGCCCCATTGATCTGACTGTGGATGATGATCAGCTTATGTTTCAGCTGGGTCTGCGGAAGAAGCAAACCAGGGTAAGAAAGCTCCTCAGCCCAGCCCCTGCCAGCACCCCACACCAGGGACCATGCTGAAGCTCTCCCATGGTGTTTCTGCCTCCCCTGCCACCCCATGTCTTGCCTGCTTACAGCTTTTTGAAGTATTGTCTTATTTTCTGCCTCCCTTCCTCCTTTTAAAGGAACATTATAGTAGTTAGAAGCACAGGATTCAGAGCTGGCCAGACCAGGATTCTAGTCCCTATTCCCAGCTGTCCAAAAGCCCCTCACCTGTTTTCCTTGGCCACGAAATAGATAACAACTGTCCCCCACCTCACAGGGCTGGTAGGAGGATTAACTGAAACAATGTTAAGTTCTCAGCACAGAGCCTGAATCTCAGTAAGGACAAACTGAATGTCAGCTTGTATTACTGTGAGTTTCTTCACTAGCACCCATTTTAAAGATGATGAAACTGAGGTGAGGAGGAGAGCAAGGTTGCCATAGTCACACAGACAAAACGAGCTGGGACGGTGATAGCATGCAACATCATGCAAACCTACCCTCCCACTGCAAACAACCACAGAAACAGACAGAATATTTGGGAGGAATCTGCTAAAAGATAATGGAAAGCTAACAAAGCAGGGAAGGACTTTAGAGCCAAGATGTGGGAGGAACCCCAGGGAGATAAGGCTGCTATCTGGGGCTGCTCTCCCAGAGCCATCACATCCCGGAAGCCAGCTGGGAGAGTCTCTGTTGTACATCAGCCTCAGGGAGGCAGGAGGACAAACATCAGAGTCCAAGGCTCACTTGTAAGCCCCACAGGCAGATCTCCAAGAACTCCACCCTAGGAAAATAAGGATGAGCCAGCCCACCATCAGTTCAATCCCTGACACGGAATTAAGATGACTCAGAATTGCTAGGTCCCTGGCCACCACCAGAAACAAAAGTAAATTATGCATGAAGGAAGATAATGTCATCTGGGGTCTCTTACTACTTCTATACATTTTCATAATCAAAATTTGAGTCTCCTACCTCCTTGCTCAAGTGAAATGTTGGGGCATAGAAACGGTAAAGAAGAGAACAACCTCACCACTCAAATAATAGCAGCTAGTGCTCATCATGGACTTACTCTCAGCCAGCCATTGTTCTAGTACTTTACATGTATTAATTTATTTAAAGCTAAGAACACTAAGAAGTAGGAGTTACCCACACTAAAAAACAGTAGTTAAGTGGCTTCCCCTAGGTCACATCACTATTAACTGGTGTTACAAATACAGTCTAGTGTCCAAACTGAGCATACTGGAAATTTCTAGAAAAAAACATTTATTTCCCCTAACTAGCTGGCTCAACATATTCTGGCCCTCCCTTCTACTTTCCTGCTTCCCCACTCCATTAGAGATATTCAGGTCTGAATTTGACCTTGAATCTGGATTTGAACAACCCCGTGACAGTCATATGTAAGAGCTGGAAGCAGAGACCAAGGCCCGTACTAGCTTGACCCCAAAAGCCCAAGTCACTCATGATGTTTCAGATTCGACATCTGTCACAGTGTCCTTTGACCTGGCCTCTAACAGTGGCCAAAATAAACTGTGGGCCCAGGGCAGAAGGCCAGTCCCAGGCAGACCCAGCCTCACAGGTCTCAGAGCATAAGAGAACTCAGAACACTGGGGGTTGACAACTGACTCACCTCCCAGAGCCACTCTTAGTGTGCATCCCTGAACTCTGTATTTTGAAAGATTTTATTCACCATTAATCAAACACATGTGACAGTCCTCTCATGGTGGAGAGGGGCCCAAATGGCTCCGAACAAAATGAAAGTGGCCCAAGGACTTTGATAGTCATGACAATCCCCTAATCAAGGGTAGAGAACTTCGTAAAGTTCTGAGGATCCCTTCACACACTGCAGATTTGGGTGCTCCACATGGGACAAACCAGAGTTCTAAGACTGCGCCCAGCTAGTGGCTAAGACAAGCCAGCCACCCAAGCCTGGGGCACTGCTCAGCTGGGGCTGATCCTGCCACCAGTAGTGAGAAGCAGCAGGGCTGGAAAAGGAGGCTGCTTAAAGGGCTCAGCCAGCGAGGACAGCGAGGGAGTGGGGAGATGGCGGGAAGGCACACTACAAGGGTTAAACTTCAGAGAGTGCTCTGCACAGACTGGGTGAGGACTCCAGCTTGGGGCCTAGAGGCCATGAGAGCTGTGCCTCTGGGCCTGATGAAGGAGCCCCCTGCCCTCTACTTGCTTGCTGCCTCCACGGATAAGAACTTCTAGAAGGGCCTTTTGGTAGGACCAGGCTGCCCCAGTCCTCAAAGACAGACCCTTGCATCCTGCAGCAAAGATCGGGGAAGCCTCCACCAGCCTGACAGCCTCCACCCCAACCAGCTCTCCTCTACCCTGGGCCAGAGTAACAGACATGATACAGGCAGCTCTTCGGGAGCATTCACTGTGAAACGCTGTTCATAGATGGCCTCATTCAATCCTCCTGATAACTTTCTGAGATAGGTACTGTTATTGTCCCCTTTTATTTCCCAGGGAGGAAGCAGCTGGACCTTTTAAACCCAGGTCTCGACAACCAGCTCTGGTCGGAGCCGTGTCAACCAGCCATGCTGCCTGAGGCTGGGGCCTGCCTAGGACGAATTTCCCACACAGCTCAGCTCTCCAGAGCCCAAAGCACCATGGGCTTGGAAGGCCCCTTAGCAATCCACCGGTCCCACGTCCTCCCTTTATTGACGAGGACTCAGGTCCAGGAGCCAAACCCTGTGGTCCAAGTCTCACAGCCCAGATGGAGGGCACTATGTGTGAGACTCTGGCCTCCCTGTCTCTTAGTGTGCATCCCAGAACCCTGTATTTTGAAAGATTTTATTCACCATTAATCATGCTGTGCCCTACCCAAGGATTCTTGGGACTCTGCCCACCCTGCCCAGCAATAATAATCCTCCCTGCTCACTAGAAAAATCTCTGGCTTTTGCGGACATGATCTCAAGCCTCCAGGAATGTCCCATGCTCTGGACTCTGTAGACGTAGATACGAGGCTAGTCCACGGGGAGAAAGGGCAAACCATGCAGTCAAACCAGCTGGACGTCTAATGCCTGCTGGGCTGCTTACTGGATTACCTCAGGCTAAATTAACTTCTCTGGACCTCCAGTTTCCTCAGCTGTAAAATGGAACTAATTATACCTACCTCCTGGGTGCTGCCAGGATTTAATGAGGGAACAGAGGTAACCTAGGGGCTCATACTTGAGGTTCAAAATGCTCTACTAAATGCTGTCAGAGAAGTACAAAGCTTAAGCCAAGCAACATCACCTGTGTCTTCAGTGGTCCCCTCTGTAAAATGGGTGGGTGGGAGTGGGGGAGGGGGAGAGGAGGGAAAGGCGGACCACGGACGATAGAGGAGGACTGTACGTTCTTCCCAACCCTTTCTACTCTATCCTGGGGGATGCCCCTGCCCCGGGTCTCAGGCCCTGCAAGTCCCAGCCTCCCGACCCAGGCGATCCAGGGAAGGCCGTGCATGATGCCCACAGTCGCGCGCGCTGAACAACACTGCAGGCCCAGATTGCCCCTCGGCGTGCCCGCACCTGGCACCCCTTACCTCCAGGTCAGCGCTGGCCTGGTTCAGGGACGCAGTAGAGCAGGTCTTGTGCCCCACCAGGCAGATGTGGCAGATGGACTCGCCATGCTGGAGGCAGAAAAAGTCCCGCAGCCGGCTGTGCTGGGGACACTTGCGGCGCAGCAGGTTGCGGACAGGCGGCTGCAGCGGGTGGTCCTGGAAGGCAGGGCTGTCAAGGTGCGGCCGCAGGTGCTCCTGGCAGAACGAGGCCATGCACACGAGGCACGTCTTGACGGCGGTGGCCTTTAGGCAGTGGTCGCAGGCCACCTGGCTGGCCTGACTCGGGGTCGTGGAGCGGGAAGGCGGCGTCCAGCCGTCGGGGGGCAAATCCCGGGCCAACTCGGCCTGCTGGAACTGCTCCACCACCGCGCACAGCACCGTGTTCTTGTGCAGCTGCGGCCGCGTCTGGTACACCGCGCGGCACTGCGGGCACAGGAACGGCGGGCCCTGGACCGCCCACGTCCCGTCCAGGCATAACCGGCAGAAGTTGTGGCCACACGGAGTGGTGACCGGCTCCTTGAAGGGCTCCAGGCAGATGGAGCACGACAGCTCCTCGGCCAGGGGGATCAGCTCAGCCATGGCGCTCCTGACGCGACGAGCTGGGACTGAGGGTGAAACTGCTGCACTCGGGCAGAGGCAGAGGAAACGAAACTGAGCGGGGCAGAGGGCGGCCTCCGCGGCCTTCCAGGAAGTCACGTGGGCGCGGGGGCGGCGCGCGGGGTGCCCGCGGGGGACCGGGCGGCCCGTGGCGCGAGCTAGTTGCAGGTCGGCAACGCTGGATCCACCGATGGCTTCCACGGGGTGGGCGCGAGGCTCGGGGTTTCTATCCTCACTACTAGCAGGGAGATCTTAGGCCCACTCTGCGGATGAGGGGACCGACGTGGCAAGTGGGGAGCCTCGGACCCAGTTGGGCTTCTGCATGAACGCGCCTGCAGGGAGTCCCTACCTACGAAGAACTCATCCAGACCGGAGGTGTCCCCACTGCCCCACGAATAAAGGCTGTCAGGACAGGACTTTAAAAACTAACTGTAGGAACAAAAGGTTCTTTTTTTTTTTTAATCCTTCCTTCCTCTTCCCTGATTGGGCTCTGGCTTATCTACGTAGGATCCCTGGAAGGCTGGAGCCCGTAACACACCCATGCTTGAATTAGTGAATCTCTTTGGTGTTTTTTATTTCCTATTGAGGTTTGAAGACATCCCAGTTTAACAAAGGTTTTCTCTCACACAGACACATACAATACTGCAACTTAAACATTTGTCTCAAAATTGTTTATTTAGGTTTTTCTCTAATTCTTTGCGCTCTGTTTTCCCCCTTCTCTGGTCTGAGTGCAGGAAAAGTGGGTGTACAGGAGGAGAGAATTGTTCCCGCCCCCCCCCACAAAAGGATGGGGAGCAGAGAAAGCATTTGAGAAGGAGTTAGCTGGAGTTTGCATTGGGGACAGGGTGAGCATCAAAAAGGAGAAAAGGTAAAGATGTCTTAAACTACTGCTAAAAGCAATAGCTCCTACTCAGCGCTAGATGGGGCACCTACTCTGCGTTAGATGAGTCAGTTGTATTATCTCTTACAACCCTTATAAACTACAAGACAGAAGTCTTTATAGACATTTTTACAAATGAAAGTCACATATTTTATACAAAATAGTGCTGAAGTTCTAGCTCAGGATTGCCTTACTCAGCATTCTAATTCCTGGTTGCCCTATTTCTATTCTTCCAGGACCCTTACCCCATTTGTTCTCTTTCCTTTGGCAATGGTGTTTGCATGGGGAGGAGGAAGACAGGATGAAGGAAATTAACATGTATGCATTGTATCTCTGTCACAGTAAATCTTTGAAGTAGGTGTAATTATCTCATGTTACAGATGAGAAAATTGAGGCTTAGAGAAAGTAACTTACCTGAGACAATCGATACTGGCATCCAGCCTGATTCCAGAAACCAAGCATTTCCTACTCTGTAATGCTGCCTCTGGATGGAAAGAATAGAGCAGTTCCCAGGAACTAAACGCTATGAAGTCCCCTATGAGCTAGCTCTTGTGGATGAGGTGGCCTGTTGACTCAGGACAGAATATTTGTAGACTTCTTTTTCCAGATGGAGAAGTTGGGAAGGGCTGGTTTCACAGTCAAGACAGCAAGGAGGGACATATACTTTGGTTATCAAATTCCATGCAGTAGATATTTACTAACACCTACAGGCTAAATTCATTCCACTGTGGCTAGAAAATATACTTATATCATTTCAGTCTTTCAAATTTTATTGAGACTTGTTTTATTACCCAAATGTAATATCTTATGGGTTACTGTTTGTATAGTATCTCTTGTTCCATCTTTTACTTTCAACCTGTTTGTGTCTTTGAAGCTGAAGTATGGCTCTTGTAGACAGCATATAGTCTCAGATCATGGTTTTTATGCACCCAACTAATCTCTGCCTTTTAATTGGAGCATTTAATCCATTTACATTAAATTACTGGTAAGGTTTACATCTGCCATTTGCTACTTATTATGTCTTACATCTTTGTTGCTCCTCTATTTCTCCATTACTGCCATCTTTTGTTATTTTCCAGTGCAATATTTTTATTCCTTTGTTATTTCTTCAAATATTCTTCCTGCCCTCCCTCTTGCCCCTTACCTATAGGAACTCCCTTTCATGTAGGTTGGTATGCTTGTTGGTGTCCCTTCCACAGGTTTCTGAAATTCTGCTCATTTTTCTTTATTCTTTTTCCTGTTTCACAGATTGGATAATCTCAATTGATCATATCCAGATTCACAAATTCTTTCGTCTGCTTGCTCAAACCCATTGTTGAGTCCCTCTAATGAATTTTTCACTTGTTTACTTTTCAACTCTGGAATTTAGTTAAAAAAAAATCTCAAAACAAGTAAATACAAATTATATCTCCTTACTGATATTCTCTATTTAGAGAGACATAATTCACATACTTTCCTTTATTTCTTTAGACTTGGTTTCCTAATGTTCTTTAAACCTATTTAAAATAGTTGATTTAAAGTCTTTGTCTAGTAAGTCCCAACATTTGCACTTCAGGGACAGTTTCTA